TCTTTTTATTATCTATTCCATACTTATTATAAATATCTATGATTATTTCTTTATTCAACTGAATTTTTCACCAAAATTATTAAGTTCTTCATATGCCTGTCATGATACACCATCATGTGCTGCTAAAAATGGTTTATTAACAAATCAAAAAGTCACAATAAATAGAAATTTTTCAAAAAATGCATTTTTTTCTGCTTTATATACTGATAATTATTTACTTGGTGCGCTTACTCTTGGTTATACAATAAAAAAACATCATCCAAATCATCCAATGTATATGATTTATTTTCAAGACAGATTATACAATGAAAAAACATTTTGTGCTTTAGGAATAATTGGATGGAAATTAATGAATGTTAAACAAATTTCATCAGTACCTGGTACACATAAAAAATATATTGATCAAGTAAGAATTTACAAGAAATACTTTTGTAAAAAATAATAAACATTTAATGTTGATGTTTTTGTTAGGAGAAGAAACGATACTTCTAATATTGACAGAAATATCATTAAATATTGAAAATTAACGACTGAAATCTTCTCATGAATATGAAGATGATATTTGATAAAAGTAAAAGAGTAAATAAACTAGAGCGACTAAAATTAATTCGATCTCTGAGAAGATTACTAACAGATATCGAGAAGTGTTTCAAGTTTTTATAGATGTTCATTAATCAATTAGAAACGAGGAAAAACTAACAAAGCATATCATAGAATAAGCCTTAGCGACAGTTTTTGATAACACAATACCAATGATCTCTTGATAAACAATTATTTTGTACTAGCTACGATCAAATAAAGTGATTGTGTGTATAAAGATTACCAATTGTTCATGAGTCTGACTTTGACGAACAAGGATTTTAATCATACATGATAAATTTCATGCAAAATTTTAATGTCATTAAATTGATATTTTCTTCATTATCAGAACCTAATGATAATTCATTATGAAGTGCATTGAAGGAGACTAAGCAGAAATGATTATACAGAGATTATATAAATATTCATACAATTGATAGAGCTTGGTCAAGGTCTCGTGTTTCTTCATATATACCAAGGCTTATTCTAATTGATCGATTATTTCCTGACACTAATCCAGTAGAATTGGTGTTGAGTCAACCATGGAAATAACTTACGCAGGTGCTGATTATGACATTGGTATGATTAAATTTGAACGAAGTCATTAGATTGTGAAGATACAGAATAGACCATATATGTCCCATTCATTTTGAATGATATAAATCTTGAATTTATTGTTAATTTGATTTTTTTTTGCATTGCCTCGTCGTTATATTGTTATTTTGTCTCTATAAAGCTGGAAACCTACTTATCATAAATTATTTTTTGAAAAATGAGTCATTTCTGAGATTATATATGGTTAGATACTTGCAGAGATGACTCTTTTTTTGGATTGAAACTAGATCTTTCATTCTCAAGATCGTATCAAAATCGTTAGTCTTCATTTTCTTTTTATAATATGAAATCATTAGTTCTGAGTTCGATTCGAAATCATTCATTCTTATTGTTAAAATCTTGCCTAGATGAAAAGTCATAACAATAGCTACAGATTTTTATCTTTTATTGATAAGGAGCTATTTAAAAACGGTCAGCCATAGAATGCTTCTTGACTGGCTATTAGTTTCATGTCACTCACTACAAATGAATCAAAAGAATGAGCCAAGTTATCATGAAAAATGCTGCTTTCACATCTGCAATCAGGAAATATTTGAAAACTATCCTGCATCTAGATTATATCCATAGTAATATACACCAACCTGACAAATATTAGAGTAATTAGTCTGTGTAACTAGATAAAAAACAAACTTTTGTTCCTTTTTTTGTCGACATATAAATCTTAGCCAATGAACGATGAAAAGAAATTTAATTTGTTACGAATATGTAGCTTATTGAAAAATTCTACACAATAGTTGGAAGCCAACTCGATTCAATACTTTACTACTCCAAATAGATAGTTTCTATGAATGAGTCAAAAAATGACCTGATAGGAGAACTACTTCGATGAGGATGTCTGGAAAATCAAGATCCTTCAAAACCGTTTTTCTGGCATCCATTTGAAGCTTTAATTTATAGAAGGCGTTAAACATGGTGAAATCATTGAAATTTTTCATAAAAACAAAGAAAAAAATGCTTCCTGGGACTTCTGTAAATCGAATGCAATTCGATGAAGTAACGTCATGAAGACAGGTGAGACATCTCATTTTGTTCTATCATGTAAAGCCATTTCCAAAAAGCTTCAAATGTATGCTAGAAAACTCGTTTTGAAGGTCTTGGTTTTCCACATATTGTCATCTAAGCAGTTTTATTGACGTTTTTAGGTTCATCAATTCCGATAGAAAATTCTTTTAGCTACCCAAATGTTTTTTTTTTTGGATTCTTCTTAGCTATTACCATCGAGAATCTACTCTCAACTTGATATCATATATCCTCGTGGCCAAAATAAACGGAACACCTTGTTTTTTTTAGTTATGCATCTTTGCCTTGTTCGATTTATCTGAAATTTTCATCAAAGATACATCATTCATTACTTGACTCACAGTAAAAATTTCAGCTAAATGTTACGAGCCATTGCTAAGAAAACTAAAAATATGTATTATGTACTCATATAGCAGTAAAACCAAAATTTGTTGTTTTGCTGACTTTTGTGCAATTTTAAATTCCATTTCGAGTTCAAGGTGATAGTCTGTTAACCCTGATGCATGACAAAATACAGAGACATCTTAAGAAGTTTCTGTATTTTGTCATATATCAGGACTAACAAACTATCACCTTGAACTCGAAATGGAATTTAAAATAGCACAAAAATCAGCAAAACAACAAATTTTGATTGCACTGCTATATGAGTACATAACACATATTTTTAGTTTTCTTAGCAATGGCTCGTAACATTTAGCTGAAATTTTTACTGTGAGTCAAGTAATGAATGATGTATCTTTGGTGAAAATTTCAGATAAATTGAACAAGGCAAAGATGCATAAGTAGAAAAACAAGGTGTTCCATTTATTTTGGCCACGACGATATATTATTTCATATTAGTTTACAAAATTAATTCTTTGGAATATGACACAATTCGATTCAATTGTTTATCTTGATTGTGATACAGTTGTTTTAAATGATGTTTCTCATTTACATGAACTTGTTATGGAACCATGGCGAACTGGTTTCGAATTTGCTGCTGCAACAGATGATTGGCGTGGAACATATATTAATAAATTTAATGCTGGTGTATTTGTTCTTCATCCATCACAACCTGTTTTTAATGAGCTTATACGTACATATACAATACCAGGAAATTATCATCCTCATTATGCTGAACAAGAATTTCTTAATCAATTTTTTCGTCTTCGTTATTTACAACTACCAACAACTTATAATATGAATATGGCTATTTATTCTCGTAATCAATATTTATGGGAAACATTGAAACCAGATTTTAAAATTGTACATTTTACACAAAGAAAACCATTTTTATCAAATGGAAAAAGTACACGAGGATATGAAGGTGTTTATGAATTATACTATGAAGTTTATAATGATTTTCTTAGAAATGCAAATGTATCTTTACTTCGAACAACTTGTTATATGATTCTATAAAAAAATTTGAAAGTAAATAAATTTGTGAAAAGTGTGCGAATCACATCAGAATATTTTAGTTCTATAAAGAGAGTTTTTTGTCTGTACTTGCAATTCTGTAGAATAATACTTAGGGCACTCCAAAAGTAGTAGTGGAGATACTGTCATTCCTTATAAAAAGCTTTAAAAACCTTTTTCTTTATATAGTCTGATAGGGCTTTGGTTTGGATGTGGATGTTGGTAGGTGTGGGTGGATGTGGGTGTGGGTGTTGGTAGGTGTGGGCGGGTGGGTGTGAAGGGGTATGCGTATGGGTGTGGGTGGGTGGGTGTGGAGGGGTATGCGTGTGGGTGTGGGTGTGAGTGTTGGTGTGTGTGTTGAGAAGCAAAACACCCACACCCACACTCACACACACCCACACTCACACACACCCACACTCACACACACCCACACCCGCACCATCTTTTACTCTCAAACTAATACGCATGTTGTCGATGCAGATGGATATGACTGTGAATTTTCTCATTATCTACAACCCACGCGCACATCCACACCTACACACACCCCACATCCAGACCCACACCTGCCGATATCCATATCTCACACCCACGCCTACATTTCACACATACGCCCGCAGCCGCATCCTCACCCAACCTAGCCATCCCACCTTGATCGGAGGATACTTTCTAGCCAGCAGCGCAACCCTTTAGATAATCCCTCAGCTCCATTCATCGTCAAAATATTCACATTTTTCATCGGTTAGAGAATTCAAGCTTTCACAAGCAATAAAAAAACAGAGGAAAAAAGTTCTATTTAAGAAATTCTTCACCATAGATAATATGGCAAGATCATCTACCCAAAACCAGCGATGCCTTCGATTACGAAATCTCGCAGACTGATGATGGTTTTATCATCATACTTTTATAATTTGCATCTTCAATAGCGTTGCGTTTGAGTTTTTTCCTCTGATTCACAAATGCTTCAATCAAATGCTGAGCCAATGATGGTCAAGAGATCGGTAGTGAGACTGGATCCTTATCACGCTGAATGACGATACTATTTGCCACAACAGTTACTGCAGACCCTTAAATCAGAGAAACATACACCGCCCATGGAAGCCACATATGACTTTTCGTCTCCAGAAATGCCTTGATGAACTGCTCGCAAGGGTGTGGGTGAGTGTGAGGTGTGGATGTGTGGGTGTGGGTGGGTGTGGGTGTCGGTGTCGGTGTGAGTGGGTGTGGGTGTGTGGGTGTGGGTGTGGGTGGGTGTGGGTGTGGCTGCTTATCTATTGTTCTCAATCCACACCCAGACCCACACACCCACCCACCCCACACCCTACCCATACTCGGTACGCTGCTAGAGCTTTCTCAATACATGGGTATCCTGTGCTCAGTACTTTTTCTAGGGAATGCAGTTTCCTTCAGTAAAGTAGGTCGCTTTGTCTGAACGATACATAATAGAAGCCTGAGATTTCCATAACCTTAGGGAGTGTAAGTTGGTCTATCGAAACCACTTTTTTTACAAGAAACATGTAAGAGAAGTTACAGAAATGCAGCAGTTCAATTGTACATGGAATTATTGCCCAAACCTTGCTTTTCATACTGGCGAAAACGGTAACTCTCTGTCTGATCCTTATCAACAAAGTAAAATACTCAAGAAACATAGAGGTGTGTTATATTTTGAAATAGACAGTAGTAATAGTACTGTATCAGCCTGATATTTCTACAGTCATTAGTAAAAACAAATTGTGCATTTGTAAGAAAATCCACAAATAATCTATCGTGCCAGAATATTCACGAATAAATGCAAAAAGATATCAAAATTAAACTTACAGTTAACCATATTGCTGGAAACTTTATATTGTTTTGTCATCGATTTATGATACATTTGTGAGGATAGCTCGATTTCACTGTTTTAAGATAACAAGAATAGATAAAGAACACATGAGATAAGAATGATGAAGTTATTCATGTTTTATATATGGAATAATCGTTAAGTAATTTGCAAAGATAAATGTATCCATTAAAGCAATAATAGCCATCCAATTGACTTTCATATCTACACTAACAATAAACAACTTCTATTGGCATAATGCATTTGTCACGCATTTGTTCCAGTTATATTCATAGTAAAGCTCATTCATCGATAGTGAGAAAGATTGAATTTTAAAACCAAGTTATTGTTAAATGACTTTTAGTTCATCAAATTAGACTTTTTATATCTTGTTACATCTAAGCTCATAGCAATCATTCATACAATCACAACATTTATTTTATATATTTTACTATTTATTATATATGATTGTCATGAATAGTTAAAGTTTATTTTCGAAAGAAATACAACATCAAAGAAATAAAATGATTTCTAATGGCTCATCTAAGCGTTGTTCATTGTTAAAACCAAAATTAATATTGAAATTTTAAAATATGTAAGTCTAAACTAATTGGTTCGGATAGTCCTCCTGCTCTCTATTTGAACGACTGCTGGGAATCGTGTGGATGCTTGTGGTTGTTGATGGAGAATATTTTCTGGAAATACTTTTTTAACGTCGATTATGGACACAAAGCAAATGAAAGAAAATAGAAAAGTAATAAAATAGCAAAAAAAGTAAATATACGGTATTATATCAGCTCCAATGTTCGACGGCAGACCACATAGAGGAGCAATATATATAACAGTGAGTGGAAAATTAAGAGAGAAATTCGGAACAGAGAGTGCCATGAGCTGAATTGTCATCTTTCGTTGTTTACGCCATTGAATTCGTTGACGTATACGATATTTTTGCCAGATTACTCGACCAAGGAAAGCTAAAGTAATAAATGGTTCGAGAAGAGGTGGCATGATAATATTAACAAATAGTTCCCACATATACAAATTTTCGTCATTTATATAACAGGCAGAGTAACCACAATACATGGATGTATAATCATACATATTTTCACATGGATAAAATAAATAGACATATATGTAATAAATAAAAATATATAAAGTAATGGAAAATAATGGTATATAATGTGTAAATATTCTTTTTTCTCTTGTTGATATCCATTGATCATGAAATACAATAATATGTCGTTCAAAAGCCATCCAAACCATAAGAATTCCTGCTCCATTATACAGGCCAACATCGGCAAAATACCAGATTAGGCAAGTCGATGGATTTGCTGGAATAACAGCAGAATGCACAATGTAGTTAAGATAAAATGGAACATCAATCAATTGAATGGGCAAACCAAGAACAAGCAAAATGACCAGAACATGATTTTTAATGCTTGACCGTGCTTTTCGATTGATAAAAATGTAAAACAGGACAATAAATGTAGATAAAATAGATACGATGTTGAATGGAAGAAGAATCCAAAAGCGAGCAACAGGTGATAACATGCTATCAGAACTACCACCAGATGAACTGTTGTTGGAGTCATTGAAACTTTGATTGTCAGACATTTCGAGACGTTTTCAAATAATCTAAAATTGTATTTATATGAAAGTCAGAAGAAGATGTTAAGTAAGCATAAGTGGAATAAGAGATGTAAATCGAAACTTCATTCTATTGGAGAAATGATCGATACTATTAATTTAGCGATCTTGTGTTATAGACTCAGAATTGTCAACGATAATAGGTACCTTAAATTTTGATAGTTCTTAATATAAGAGAAAATTTTTAGACAACTAAACTTTCAATATTTATACTTTACTTTGTAACTCCAGCATTGAGTTCCTTCTATAAGTGAACACAATGATGTATCCTGTAGAGATCTTCACAGTGTATGTAATGCTTGTTATTCTTCAAAACATTTCTCTTATTTCACACTAGATAGAAAAAGTGGCAAAAGAAAAGAATCTAGAATGCAGTATTAATGATTTCATATTCAATGAGACAGTTATCACTTTTTTTGTGTACTCAAAAAGTGAGTACACTCTAGAATCGGTCAGTATGGCCGTCCGTCCGGCCGTTAACACGATAACTTTTGAAAGGAGAGTCCAATCGCGATGAAATTTTCTACACAGTTCAGTCTTAACAATGTCTCGGTCGAGTTCGAAGATGGGAAGAATTGGCTGAACCATTCTTGAGTTATTGCAAAAATACTCATTTTTTCCTGTGGCTTCCTATGCGAAAATCGACCCATCCCCGCTTTCGTAAAAAACTTTTCCTATCATAGTCAAATAAAACCGCAACTATTATATACCATTCGATAGAGAATTTCACGAGCTACAAAATGGTGTATAAAGCATTAAAAATTTGAGCTCAAACTTTTGGGCCAAGGAAAGAGTTTTTTGAGAAAATAGCGATATTTCATAAAGGTTGGCGAAAGTAAGTCGGGGTCGAGGAATCTGAATTTGAAGTCAGATTTTGAAAATTTTGAACTCCATTTTTAGTGTACTCAAAAAGGGAGTACACTACTAAAATCGGTCTGTGTGTCCGTCCGGCCGTCCGTCTGTTAACACGATAACTTTCGAAAGGAGAGTCAGATTGCGATGAAATTTTCTACACAGCTTAGTCTTGACAATATCTCGGTCGAGTTCGAAGATGAGAAGGATCCGTCAAGAAATGGCTGAGTTATCGAAAAAATTGTGATTTTTGACCAGACCATCCCTGAGGGGGGGTACGGGGATTTTTCGAAAAAAAATTTTTTTGCTCATAATTATTCACAAAATATATAAATCGACTCAGTTTTTAACGCTGATTCGGAATCTGATATTAGTTTTGAACTGAATCATAGTTTTGTGCACTCAAAAAGTGAGTACACTATAGAATAGTCAGTGTGTCCGTCCGTCCGGTTGGCTGTTTACATGATAACTTTTGACAGCAGAGTCAGATTGCGATGAAAATTTCTACACAGCTTAGTCTTGACAATTTCTCAGTCGAGTTCGAAGATGAGAAGGACCGGCCGAGCCGTTCCTGAGTTATTGCAAAAATACCCATTTTGCCCTATAGCTTTCTGTGGAAAAATGGACCCATCGCGACTTTCGTAAAAGACTTTTCCTATCATAGTCAATTAAAACCCCAACTATTATA